ACGGGAAGGTTACGCTTGGTCTTACCGTGTGTGTGAGCGAGCGCTGCTTTACTCATCGCAGACGTGGTTCGATGTGGTTTCACCCTGTACGCCCGCGGCCCGAAATCCGCCACCATCCCGACAGGAAGTGCCACAGGAAGTGAGAAAACGCATCGCTGCGCACTTGCAAACACACTCTCAGCGGCTGGTGCCGGAGCGCGCAGCTGCAGACGCACATCTGAGGACACAAGAAAGGAGGGAGGAGGGGCTTTTTCAGAAGGAGGGGCTTCATGGAGACAGGAAGTGAACGGAGCATTCCTGACAGACTGGGAAGAGAGGAGCCGCAACAATGGAGAATATGAGGAGAATAATCAACATTCAAGCAGGAGAACCTGCACAAAAAGGTCTTCTATAAGCAATAAAAGATTTAAAGTGAAATAATCACTGCCATATAATAAACATACAGACAGAAACTATAATTACAGCGTGATAGTTCACGGAGTTCTGTACCGGTTCTGGACGGGTTTGGTTTCAAGGAGTCCACATTCAAAGCTTTCTTCAGTTCATCTGATAGCCTCAGATCAAGCTGGCAAAAGAATAAAAGTGAATATAGTTTATGAATAAGTGGTTGATAATAACCGTATTGAATAAAAACATTTCAAAAGGCTATCGAGAAAATAATGCTCTGTTTGAAATATTATCATTATTTCAATAATATGGACATAACCAGTCAAATATCCACTGATCTGAGTTCTGTTATATTTTATTACCATTTTCTAAACTATAGTGAATAACCTGTGATAATGTGAGAAATGTTGAAGGAGTCTGAGTAAGTGTTGGTTTGACTGTATTTGAGAGTGTAAAGAGAGGTATAATCAGATCACCGGGAGTGGAACCCCAGGCCGGTTCTAGACTAGTCTGGTTCTGAGTAACACTGGATCTCACACTGACCGGTCTCTGTGCCGCTCTGTCGGGCAGGAATGACCTCACTGCTGCTAGATGCTGTTTATAGCCGTGAACCTGCGGAGAGAGAGAGAAATATTCATCATCACCATCATCTTCATCATCACAAAACACGACACTATGGCACTGAACGCTTCAGTCATATTGAGCCACTGTGCTAACATAACATTGCAAAGTACTTTAAATATAGTTATATATATATATATATATATATATATATATATATATAGATGGATGGAAATAAAATTAATCCTTGTCAGGAAATTAGATTTGTTACAATCGCAGACACTGACATCATCAATCTATCTACATAACTGCATTAATAAAACAAAAACTTTCACTGAAGTATTCTATACCCTATAATATATCATCTAAAAAAAACATGCTTTATCCTTTAATGATAATACTAAAAACAAATACACAAACAAAATCAACTCAAGCATTCAACCCCTATTTTAATAATACTTAAAACATAGGAAAAAATTAAAATAAAAACACATCAAGGTGTCACAGACAGCAACAGTTTCGGCACAGATCAGGTGTTCTGTCGATTTTTGCTGCCTTGTCGAAAAATGCTACCGTAGCGCGAATTGATCACAGAATGCCGATTAAAGTCGTATGAAATACAATTCTAATACAATTCTAAGTTATGAGTAGCTACTGTATACTGTAGACTACTGTTTTTATTTTTAAAACGGTGTGAAAAGTAAAAAATGATCATAAAATATTCATCTTTGACTTGTCAAAGTACACCGTAACTGAAACTTTCAGTTATTCCTTTTCAGCTGGCTGACCGTACAAATATTCATATGGTAGTAAGCATTTTTTAAAGGGAAATTATACATTATAACAGGAAAATGTACCTTTTGTAAAAAAAAAAAAAAAAAATGTGAGTCTGCACATGCGCATAACCGGTAAGTAGGAAATCTCGATGGGTAGCATGAATTGTCAGAACACCGGCTCACATGTGGATTCCACGCGTGCCAGATGTGGGCCGACACTGTTCCTGTCAAAAAATCTGTATTATGCCGGACAAGTGATTTAGCGACGCCACTTTGTAAAGAAAGACACACGCCTGCGCACATACACGCATGCGCGCCGTCAAATAAATAAACAATCTCTGTTACTGTAATCTCCTGAATTCACTGTAAAGCCGCTGTGAAACTCTGTTGTTTAATGAAGGAGACAGTAAGAACTAAAACCCGCCAAATGTGTTTTTAAAAGCATCTAAAAGCCTGTAAAGCGAGCCTGAGAGACAGAACACAAGCAGAACTCAGGACTGATCTCAGGTCAGTATAACTGCATGATCATGATCTGAGGCAGCGAGTAAAACTCTTACCGAGGCAGGCAGGAAACTCCCACGTGCGGTGTTATTATTATCAGTATCATCGCGCTTCTGCTGTTTATTCGAGCGCATGTCCTTTTCTTTCAGATTCAGGGAGAGTTCACTTACACGCGCGCTACGCGGATTACTCGTGCACGTGTGTAAAAAATAAGTCTGATTCGCATCGAAAGCGCGTTCCCAGGCGTGTTTTGCACTCCGCGTCCATAGCAACTAACTTTTAGTAAACAGTTACGGGCACTTCCGGCGCCACCATGCGCTCAACTCATCGGATTCACGAGTTGAACATGTATATCACGTCATTAAAGGAGTAGTTCACTTTTCAAAAAACTTTTGCTGATAATTTACTCGCCCCCGTGTCATCCATCTCCATGTCTTTCTTTCTTCAGTCGAAAAGAAATGAAGGTTTTTGATGAAAACATACCAAGATTTTCTCCATATAATGGACTTCAATGGGAACCAAACTGTTCAAGGTCCAAATGAGAGTTTCAGTGCAAACTGTTCAAAGGGCTTTAAACGACACCAGACGATGAATAAGGGCAAAAACCTTCATTTCTTTTCGACTGAAGAAAGAAAGACATGGACATCTTGGATGACTTGGGGGCGAGTAAATTATCAGCACAAGTTTTTTGAAAAGTGAACTACTCCTTTAAGGGTTAAATGATTGACTACAGTGGGACTTTGGTGTTGAAGTGGCTCGAGCGTCTTCACTGTTTATTATTGAGCTTTTCTTGAATGCCTCAAAATCTGCTCTGACCTCCACTCGTTCTGGCTGTATCTCTATTAACAAATCAAGCAAAGCATTATTTGACACAATAATAAACAAGCCAAACCTCAATCTCATGATGCCTTGCTATTCTGTCTTGAATTATATTTAGGAAACAGAAGCCGTTTGTCCACCAGCGTTTCTGTTTAGTTTTTTTGGGTCTAATCTTTCTGGCCAGTCTTTTCTCCGACTAATCCATGTTGTATCAGTGACTTAATCCTGAAATCCTATTATTCATCCATCCCGCTCCTTCTCTCCAGAAACTCTGCCATTCTGCACTGGTTTCTCACTTCATTAATGCATCTGTTTCATCCACTTAAAACTGGTGCAATTACTCAAGTTCTTAAACTACACATGCCGTTTCTTGAGTTTGGCTATATCTTTATTAGAGGATACAGTGATGTTTATTCTTCATGATCAATTAAACCATCAGGATATGAGGAGCATATTTTATATGTTTATAAATACATCAAATATGAGGGATGAACAAAACACTAAACTTAATAATTTATCTGACAAAGGGATTTGGGAAGAGCAGCTATAGGTTTTATTTTACTAAGCAAAGAAATGCACAGAAAAATAAAAAGCTGACAGAAAAAAAGCAAACCGACAATAAAATAATCAGTGATCAGCTTCTCTTTTGTTCAGAATGCAATATGCTTACACATTTGGCTGAACATCACATTTGGCCACAACTGTATATCTAAGCAACACTTAAATACTGTATTAACACAGATCTGTCCGTAACCGGACGCGTATTGCTGGACAATAAACACATGCACGCTCATAACGCGCTGATGACGTCAGCATGGCTTCTTTATCTAGTGTGTGTGAACAGATCACAGAGAGCCTGATGGACCACACGGGTCAGGAGCTCAGAGAGAGGCGAGACTGATGCAGGATCAGTAGGTGACACAGATCTCTCCATACCATAATGCACCAATTTCCTAGTAAAAGCTCAAATAAAGAAGAAGAAAAGCACCTGAAGCGTCTTCGTCTCTGTGCTTTAGTGCGGTGCACACTGCAGCATCATCATCATCATAGTCATTAGTATGCGGGACACGACCGTGACGTCATCACCGGACTCCCGACTGAAGCGCAGAACATCAATCACGGGAATGACTCACAGCACGCGTGACGTCACACAGTCACCTTAACTCGAGTGGACAGGCCTGTGTGTGTGTGTGTGTGTATATATATATATATATATATATATATATATATATATATATATATATATGCCTATGTATGTGTGTGTGTTTATTAGTTTTAAAACAATAAAATGGGATTTTGGACTTTTTTCTTAATTTATTTACTCAAATTAATTTCACATTTCATGTGTTTGACGCTAGGACGTTTCATTCGTCCTTCCTAACAGTAAATCCGCTGCTGTAAAGCCTATTATCCAATTTGCACGCCTAAAGTGGGTCTGTTCAGTGACACTGGACCAGTGTGCTCACTCGTTTCCCTAATTGCCCCCACGTGATCATTGTTTATTGATATAAACGTGTCAATAAGGCGCTCGCGGCCTCTGTAAAGTAATGCGAAAGAGAAGCGAAGACATGTCCGCCGTTCTCAACGCGTTCCTGCGCTGCGTCGCGTTCCTGCTGCCGCCCTCTTGGCTCCGGTTTTGCTGGTGGGTTGGGGAGGCGTCATGGCCCAATCCCAGAGCTCGATTCAAACACACAAAGCCTCTTACATATGAGGAAGTAGCAGCTCAAGACGAGCCTGAACGCGTCGCTTCTTCCTCCTCCTCTGACCGCGCCGCGCCGCCGCGCAGATTTCTGACGCTCCGCTCGGCGGTGGAGCGCGTTGTTTCGGCCGTCTGTGGTCTGCACACGCGCCTGGGGAGTTTGTGCTCGCCGTACCGCGTCGCTGTCAGTTCCCCCGCGAAGGACGCGTTCACGCCCGCGATCATGAGCGTCGACGCGCACCTGCGGGAGATCAGCGCTCCGGTGACCATCACTGTGGCGATCCAGGCCGCGGAGGACGAGGAGCTCCAGGAGCCCGAGGAGGAGGACGCGTCATGCGGGAACATCGAGCTCCTCACGGGCAGCGGCAGCGAGGACGAGCTCAGACACGACAAGTCCAGGTACTGACACACACACACACACACACACACACACACACACCGAGAGAGAGAGTTGTCCATGTTTAAAACGAGACCGGTCATGTGTTTGAGGAACTGACTTCTTGTTGATTTCATCCTTTCATCCACGTACACACACACACACACACATACACGCACCAGCTGCACTTGTAGGACTATAAATAGACACGCTCACAATGCTTGACCCCATAAAAGTGTCAATTTCTAATTCTGATTCAGTGTGTGTGTGTGTGTGTGAGAGAGTATGTGTTAAAGTGTGTGTCTGTGTGATTGACACCTGTCGCTCAGGAGGTGAAAGGTCGGAGGATTCTAAGGGCCCACACACTCCTGGGGGCCACAGAGGAGGATTTAATTAAAGGGATAGTTCACCCAAAAATTAAAACTCTCAGTAATCACTCTCCCTCACGTCAATCCGAGACCAGTGAGACCGTCGTTCATCTTCAGGACACAAATGAAGATATTTCTGATGAAGTCTGAGAGCTTTCTGTCCCTCCAGAGACCGCACCGGCATTGCAACTTTCGACTACACTGGTTGAACCGTAATGTTACTAATTGCTCATTTGTGGGTGCACTATCTCTTTAATGGAATGCGTGCCTCGTATTCTTATATGGAGCCCAGATTGGCCTGCCGGGAGGAATGGCACCAGACCTGTCGCTGCACTGGTTCCACTGGTTCTCCAGGACGGTCCAGTCCAGTGACCAGATCGGTGTCAGTCACGCTAAACGCACTTTTTTATTGTATACTCTCCCTCTTTGTGTTAACTGTTTTTCTCTGAGCTCGTCATTATGCCTCTCTGGTTCTATTTATTTTAATACGTAATTATTTTTTACTCTATTTAAATTCCTTAAGCCCTGGTCTAGATCACGAATGCACTCGGTGACCGCCGCAAACGCCGACCCTCAATTAAGCGTCTCCCACATGACCTATGGAGCCGTTGTGTGTGTGTGTGTGATGCGCTATTGTCCCTCGGCGTCCGTGGGCGAGTCATGACGCCTCTTTCTGAGTTTGAAGGGTTTCCCGCCCGCTCGAGTGTCTCTTCAGGAGCGTGCGAGTGACTCATCCGTGAATCTGAAGGTTACTCGCGGCCGATGGAAAGCTAACCTGACCGCCGGGTTGTTTTCCTCTCCGGTCAGCATGTGTTGAGCGTTCAGATGGAGAGGTCTCGTGGGCAGCGACTTGTGATGCTCGTGTTTTTGCACAGGCTGTTGGATTGTGGGGGAAAGCGAGATTTGAGGGAGGATGATGGGAAACAGACGGGCTCCCTGCTGCTGCTGATGATGATGGACGTCTGTCTCTCTCTCTGTGTGTGTGTGTGTGT